GCCTTTCTGCGTCTTAGACTTTGTTTTGAAATATCATTAAAAAAGAATTTTAGCGCATTCATCATTATGGCTAACGAGCTCATCCGTCTGAAGCCTTTGAAACTTCAAAAACTAAATTTTTAACCTCGTTTTTCGCTATCAAGAACCTAGAAAATGTCTTGTTTGAGGGATACCAAAACTACCGGGGTGATCTCGAGCAATTTTTATATTTCTAGACGCAATTTCACTCTGCAAAATATTAAAAATCAAAATTTTTTGAATTTGGCCGAAACAAATGGAAAGGCTCGACGTGCACAAGCGCCTTTACTACACGTACGTTCAGAGGATCGGAAGTATAGTCAATACTTACTTAACATAAGCTGCCCGTAGAAGTATTTGTGTAAGCTGAACCCGTATACAAGTGTTACGGTGGTCCTTATCGAAAGCCGAGTGTACGGCTCATTCCAAAATGAGACTGCCCAATGTACCCCTTTTTAGGTTTATTTCTTCCATGAACAAATGATGCAAGGGACGATAAAGGGAGTCTCGGAAGCACCTAGAACGTGGGAGCAGCTGAGCCGATCAAGAAACGAGGAAGACAGAAATACAGAAACCCTTGGCTCATATTAGATTGACTGAGGGTTTTGCATGTGCTGCAGCATGGGTATTGATTTTGCGCTATGTAGCCGGTAGTTCTTCCTTTCAATGATATACCCGCAGGAATATTAGAAGCATCTTTTCATACAGTACCAGATGTATACGGTAGTTGCAGAGGGACCCACACGACATGCTCACTCAAGTAATTTTCCTCTAATGGCCCAGATGTTAGTGATGGTGTTCATTGCTCCTAATACATATGCAACACAATGAACTCTGTGAATGACGAGTAGGATGATGAGCATATGCGACTCGATGGCAGTCGTCCTTAACCTAAATTCGGTGCTAACCGAAACCCAAGGTACTTCAAAGAGCACTATCTAGAGTAATTTTTGAAAACTCAGAGAAAATATGGAGAAATGAACACAAAGGGCCCCCCATCAATTACAAAACCGCCTGAACAAGGTCCTACAGATGACGATCAGCAAGGTGTGACACTTCCCAAAATTGGGTGGCACAATCGTCAGTAGCCCTCAACTAGGGTAACCGTGGTAATAAGGACATTCTGCGACCTTATCTTTGCCCCAAGTTTCAGCCCAAAGACCTCAAAAAGTGACGAAATTCGAACCCAAATGACAACAATCAAAGTATCATGGAATAGCAGGGAGCCCATAAAATAGCCAAATTGTTCGAAAGCATCGTTTGAATATAGATTCAGGGTATTAAAGTGCTATAATCAGCTCAAACAGAACCGGTTGGTCGGAATTATTACTGTAAATTGGATTTTAAAACGACGGTGATGGTCGTTACAGTGTACGAATTACTTGAACGGACAGTGACGTAGATTTTGACTTCTGAAACATGAGCAGCCTCAGCCGATAGGAATTTGCCTATACAGAGAAGCGCCTTCTGTATGTCTTCAAGTACCTGGCGAATTTGAGAGGTTGCGCCCTATAATCGGACCATAGCACTCATTGAAGGAATTCCCATGGAGAACGCTATTGATCAGCCGGCCTAACAGCTGCAGATCTGCGTCCAGAGAGCGAACTTCTTTAAATTGGGTTGGGCTTTCGACTGGGTGAAAGACATTATCGAAGGGAGCCCGGAACCCAAAGAATT